CATTTCTATTGTACCTTCTGTGTCACCCCCCAAAAAAAAAAAAAAGTAGCAGAAGTCCAAATACTCCAAATACTAACTAAATCTCTATTGACTACATACAAAGGAAGCAATATAGAGTTGTTAACGGCAAAGAATCTGAGTCAAATTGTCCAAATTTAAATTTTCCAGCTCTACAACTTACTATCTGTGATTTTTGGCAAATTATTTATCCTCTATGATTTGTATTTCCTCATCTGCAATAATAATACCTAATAAGTCTGTTATGAAGACAAGTGTTTATCTTGCATGAAGCCCAGGATTTGATCTCCAGCACTGCCCACCACACATATACATGATTAATTATGACGATGTCTATTACCTAACTAGCAAAGTGCCTAGTATATAATAAACACTCAAAAATGTAAACTATAATGATAATGAAGACAATGATGACAAACTGTTTCTATGAAGTAATGTACCTCATAGAGGAAAAATTATTTAATGGCCACAAACCACAATCCTGCCCTTGATGAATACTTGCCACTGGTTACAAGGCACATAATATATTTAAATTAGAGAAATCTACCCACTTTACTGCACAAAAACCAACTTAATAACATTTGGATAGTAAAAGTAGTGTAATTTTACATTGTACATATATCCATATCCATAAATTTAAGTATATATCCTACTGAGTCAGTCTAGTATAATTATCTTATAAAAATATGCTATTTTCTACACTAATTAAAACAATAATAATAAGAGAGGGGAGATTAGTAAAGTAAAACAAGTAGATCAGGGGAAGGAAGGAGGGGAGGGAAAGAGAAGGTATTAGGCAATGAAATGAGTCTGATTATGTTCTATGCATATATGGATATAGCATGATGAATCCCACTATTACATAAAATTATAATGCATCAATAAAAAGGCAAAAACTGATATTCCCATTTCAATCTAAACCTCCCTTTTTCTCTTGTTGCTCTCCTTTCAATTACTTTATGCCACCTAATGAACACTGTTTGAGAAAATCTACATATTGTGATATCCCATCTTGGTATGACATTAAGATAAAGAAATCACTTAACTATGAAACAATAAAGCAATGTAAGTAGCAATATTCTTCCTGATATAAGGACCGAAATATTAGACTACTTCAGTCAACAACTAGCCCACTATCATCCAGTTTCTCTCTGAAGAAGGTCACCAATATCGTTAGCACTACTATGGAGAGCAGATATCATTCATATTTTTGACATAATTAAAACTTTCATCCAACTAGGATATCAATGTGTGAAGCATGAAAATCAAATTTCTAGCTTAACGAAGGTATAATATTCTAATAATAAGAAAATGGAATGCAAAATGACCTTTAAAAATCACAGAGGAGGAAAAAGGAAAAGAACTGTAATTTCTTCATGAACACTACTTTAAGAATCCAAGAAAACAAGCTTGCCCCCATGTTTTGTCAATCATAAAAAGAAACATCATTTTTAATATAAATTGATGTGTAGGGTTGCTATACATACCTGTGTAATTGGTATCTGGTGCACATAATACTAATAGCAATGCCGACATAAAAAAAGAGACAAATATTTAATGAAATATCCACAAAATCTTTGCCCCCAGGGACAAATGCCATAAGCAGTAGATACCAAGATGTTTTCAAAATGAACTATTTTTAATAGCACAACTGTAGTTTCAACAACAGTCTACAGCTCTCTTGACTGGCTACACCTTACCCCATTAATGATGTTCTGCATCAAAAAAGCAATTTCAAATTATTTATTTATTTTGATGGAGGAAAATTATATCATGCATAATTTAAAATATTTGATATGTATGATTTTTCAGCAGATTTTCCATCATAATTGTATTGTGCTCACAGTAATATGAAAGTAAGTTTTCATACCTTGAGTACACACTTTCTGAAGAACAGAAAGAGGGCAATGTAGTCTGAGGCATGCTGAGTGCTGTAGGGAAGCTAGATAGCTAACTTAAAAGGACTTAGATAAGCTATAACATAGCAACTGCAGAATTGATAGTCACTCAACCATGTGAAGGCCTAAGCCATGATCTCATATTAAAGTGTTTTTAAAACCACCCATTATGATCACTCAAATAAAACATTTAAATAATTTGTCACACACTTATTCTTTAGAGGTTAAGTGAAATTAGGGATGATAGATACAGGCAGGAGAACATTTTCTGTGACAAACTCATTCATTCATTTGCATCTACCTCTCACCACCAGAAGGATAGTGGGTGGGACTACCCAGACACCCTTCTGGAGAGATATTTAAGTATTAATTCTAAATTCCTAAAACCCAGTGGATCTTTTTTGCTCTGTCATTTCACATATACATCCTCCCCCACTCTCCTTTTAACTCAGAAAAGCTCATTCTGTTTGGAAAAAAAACAAAAACAAGAATTATTTCCTTTAAATAGGTGATGAGCAAATTCTCAATTTGTTCAGCTGTCTTTGTGAATTAAAAAAGGAAACAAACAAAAACCCATCACTTAAAAAAAAAAAAAAAAACACTCAGAAGACCTGAAGCCTGAGGCCATCTGTCTTTACCTCACTTTGCTTGGTACATTACCTTAGCATTTGTATAGCAAGGATGTCAATAGGGGAAAGCAGGTCATTGGCTTTTACTGACCAGTGGTTCATGTTGCTTAAGGAAAGAGGAAAGAGAACGAACTTCTATGGGGTCGCCTACTACTTTGATGGAAGCTGGATTTTAGAATGTCCGAAATATTAAACTATAGGCAAAGTTTTAAAAAAAGAGTGCGTGGGCTGGGTACAAGTAGTGAAAAGGTTAGAGGGCAGGCTGGGAAACACCCTAAGGCGGAGGAGGGGAGGAAAAGTTTTAAATACCCACCAGAGCCTAGTGATCCATTAATAATCGTCTCCCACCCTGCCTCTGCTCTTGCCCCAGAAGACCTAGCTGCTGGGAAGCAAGTAACCCTATTTTTAAACACTTAAAACTCTCCCTTGGACTTCAGAAGGCTTGAGTTACCAGCGTCGTAAATAAGATGTTTCTTCCTAAACAAGTGAAAGCAAATTGGAATTCCCTAGACAAGGCGGAGGAGAAAAGAAGGTAAAGGGACAAAAAGTGATTTAAGCCTGAGAGTGCGGTGATAGGGCGGGGGAGGACTTACCGCAGCCTCTGCGGGCTGCCCCCAAAGACTCAGGGCCAGTAAGGACAAGCCGGCAGCCAGGGTGACTCCACGCAGTTTCATTCTTCTCCCGCTCCCGCAGTTTCTTCAGCACCCGCACAAAATCCCCGGCTGGCTCGGGCCAACTGACATAATCTTGAGGGTTTACTGGGAGAGAGCTAGAGCAGGAGAGGGATAGCGAGGGTGTCCCAATTGTGTAGGTCGGCTTGGGTGAAGAGAAAGAAGCTTTTCAAGTAGAGAGAGAGGAAAGAAATAGAAAAAAAAAAAAAAAGAAAGAAAAAGAAGAGGAGCTATTCTTCCCTCCCCCCTCCCCTCCCCAAAGCCGGTCTCTCGGGAGCACTTTTCCCTTCTGTCCAGACTTGCAAACTTTTTCCTCACTCAAGTCCCACAGATCTACTTTCCGCCCTCTAGTCCCCCTCCCGCACCGCCCCCTCCCCGCCAGCACCAGGGAATTTAAGTATCACTCCGCCACAGCTTTATACTCCACCAGCAACCTGCGAGGGAGTGACGCTCAGTTATTTGGGGGAGGGAAACTTCTAGACCAGTAGACTGAACACCGTGAGTTCAACCGGGAAGCGTTCCTATTCGTTCATTTGCACCTTCCGTTGGCACTGCTCTTCCCTGCCCAGTTCCACTCATTGGTATGAGCATCAAAGCCAATTACAAATAGACCTGAGCTGGGACTATTTTTTTAGCGGATGGATCTCAGAGAGACTGTGCTTTTTATTGTTAATCATTAGAAACGAATTTTGGTCGCAGCCCTCTAGGCTGCTGGGTGTCTTTGCCATTCAAGTGCTCACAGAACAAAGTTTCTGTATACAAGTAGAAAGTGTAAAAATATTGGAAATATAGAGTTATAAATGAAGAAAATGAACATATTTAAGTGTGTGTGAATAGTTGATATGTGTGATATGTATACAAAATTTGGAAACATTGTATGTGTTAGGAATTATTATATGGTTGAATGTTGTCCTAATACAGTCACATCATTTTATTTAACTACATTGAATTACATAATTAATATTTACCTCCTAACAAAAGGTATTGCTCTTGTGTTTCAGAAGGATATATGGCAAGGGATTAAATCATTTTAGTGCATTTTCCTAATGGGAAATATTTATACAGAGTTGATGGCAGTTGAATTGATATCTCCCAAATAAAATAGACTTGAACATTACTTTGGAAATCCTGATACATTATTTTTTAAGTGCCAAAAAGCCCAGAAAATACATTTGTGGACGCCTTGGAGTCTTTCAGGAAGAATTTGCTGAAGAATTCTTCAGAATATTTCAGTTATCTTATTCCCTAGGTTTAACCACTTTATAGAGTCTTTTGGATCTGTTTCACGCGGACCCATTCATTCTAAGGTTCTGCTGAGTTTAGAGTAAGTAGATTTACAGCTCCAGAGATTCCCCCTTCTCTTCTCAAGTGCTTAGTGTGCAATTAATTAGAATGAGTATTGCATGCATTTTGGCCTGTGTGCATGAGCACTTTTGGGCCTGTGGATATAGGAGTAGTATGCCTAATTCTATTCATGTGTAAATTATCAGTGGTTTATGGAAGATATAATGCCTAGTTGCTTAAGTCTTAGTATATTGGTTTCTAGAGGCCTGTGCATGAAGCTGTGAAGACAACTGGAACTGTTGTATGTAGAGATGCCTGAATGTGAGAGACAACCGGCTGCCCAAGGTAGGGGGGATGATTGACAGCACACGGCCACGCCCCGTTCCCCTCCATTCCTTCCTCTCCTGGCGCATGGAACTATCTCCTGAGTGCGGCAAGTTGTAGCGGGCACCGCCGAGTGTTTTTCCCTTTGGGGCACTTCTTATCGGGAAGCTAACTGCTTTTTTCTAAACTGAGCCGCTTAGCCCTCTTATTCTGTCCTGAGTAAGAAAGCAGCCGCCGAGCATCAACGGAGTCCCGATGAGCCAGCGCCGCGGAGCCACTTAGTCTCCCGGGACCCAGCGTCTGAGGAGCCGCAAGCATGCACCCTGGGTGAGCTGTTGCTGCCCCGAGCTTCCCTCCTCTTTCCTGCTTCGGGCTACTTTGCCAGCCCGGTCTATACTTGTACTTCTGTCACTGTAGAGAAAGTGGAATCAGGCATCAAAAAGGGGTTGGGGGGCTACCGGCGGCCGCAAGACCCTTAGAGCCCAGAGATCCAGTATTACTCACAATCCTTCTCGTTTTAGGTTGTGGCTGCTTCTGGTTTCCTTTTGCCTGGTGGAAGAACTGGCAGAAGCGGTGAGTCTTCTCCTGACCCCTTTCCCCTCCTCCTCAATGGACCCCTTCCTTTTCCCCACCTCTTGTGTTTGTGTTAGGGGGTTACAGAGAGTTGTACCGCGAAACTGACTTCACATCACTCTCCTTTCTAATGGGAGTTAACAGGGTTCTTGAAGAGGAACAGCAAGCACTGTGTTAGGCTAATGCCCTTGGGACCCAGGCATCTTCCTGTCCTAAAACTTTGTAACGGGTTGGGAAAATAAAAGTAGAAGACATAAGAGGCACACATTTCTGAGCCTCTTCCGGACAACTTAAGATGACTGACATCTGATGCCTTCCTCTGCATTGATCTCCAAAGCAGAAGAAATTTTCCCTGGTCTACAAGAACATGAACACAAATTTTGAGAGTGGGAGGAGAGCACCAAGGAGTGGGACTTGAAAATTGCTACAAATATTATAGAAAGTAAACTTAGTATTTTCTTCTTAGTCTTTTGACCATACCAGAAACTAATACATATAGTCATATAGTGATATATGTTCAGTTTCTACCTGCTATTTCCTTTTCCTGGTCTTCTGTATCATCAGAAAGTGAAACGTTAAAGTAGTTAAGACAGAAAAACTGTATTAAAGTTACCATTTCTTAGACTGTTTTAATATCATTCACAAATCCTATGGAGACTACAGGCAAAGTAATTTCTGCAGACATCATTTCAAGAAAAGTTTAGTGGAGGGCTGGAGTTATAGCTCAGTGGCAGAGCACTTGCCTAGCATGTGTGAGGCACTGGGCTCCATCCTTAGCACCAGATAAAAATGAACAAATCAAATAAAGGCATTTTGTCCATATACAACTACAAAAAATTAATTTAGAAAAGTTGAGTGGATCCCCAAAATCAGGAAAAAAATCAATGGAATTACAAGGATAATTTCACAAAGGTAAAGTGACCTAAAGAGTCTGAGATGTTGAAGTTTTCCAGTTGGACTAACTATGCCAGCAGAAATAAAGTTAACTGTTGAATTCAAATATGAAGTTGTTCTACTATTGAGTATTATTTTACTGTGGTGTTAAAACAACCCTCTTAATAATAGTAGTAATTTACTATATAGATAACAGATAAAAATATATTCAAAATATTTATCTCACTGGTTTTGATCATTTTAGTAGATTGGCTCTGTTTTTAATATTTTAAATATGATTTCTAGAACCATACTTAATTCAAACTAATAAAATCACTTAACATGCTTATGAGAAAATGGAGGACTTCATCCCGGCATATAATGTCTTTAAAAAAATGTCAAAATAAGGTGAAATATTGTCTCTTATGAAAAGAGGATAATGTCAGAAAACTTAAAATCTAAAACCTTCTGACCCCTTAACTCAGGACATAGGCTTTTATGTGAGTATATTCTACTCTTTGTAAGCAGACATATTGATCTAGGACTCTGTGCACTTTTCCATCTGATTCCTCCATTATACAAGTTTAGTTATGTGTTACCTTGAGGCTCAATACTACATTTATTGAAAATGCCAGATTTTGATTAGTCCACAATTTGTCCAGGAATCTTGCCACTTGTAAAAATGTCATACTTGGGCAGAATACCCTCCAGAAAAACATTTATTTTTAGACTCTGGCTGATCTTACTCAGTGTACTTTTGGGAAAAGCACTATATAGATCATTCAATATACTGAAGACTTCCCAGATACTGCATCTTCTCTCATTTGATATGACTGGAAGATGATGCTTCCATTTCTTCCAAGTATCAAAGTATTCATAATCAAACACTGTTTTGGTGCATAGGTTCTAGATATTTTCTCATTGTTTTACAATGTCATCTGCTATATCAGTGTGCATGACCATGGTGAGACAAATAAACCTTTAGAGCCACTGATAATACTTTATTGTTTGTCTTATTTAAGTTCATAGTTGCTTCCTTCGTTGTGGTTTGATTATGCGTGATATATTTTTACCTTGTAAAGCTATTCTAATTTTTGGAAAACTGGCAAAAAGAAAGAAGAGAGTCACAGGATACATTCTTAGAGGATTACATGACTTTTTTGTTTGTGTGTGTGTGGTGCTGGGGATTGAACCCAGTGCCTTGTGCATGTGAGATGTGAGGCAGGCACTCTACCAACTGAGCTACATCCCCAACCTGGGTGACTTTTTTTTTCCAAGGGGAAGATTTTATATATATATAAAATATACATATATATAGAGAGAGAAATATCCCATTTACACTCTGCAATGGATTCTCATCTGTGTTGTCTGGTCCTCATCTGCTGTTCTTAATTCCAATTTATTCTCTAAGTTTTTAGATTTATCATCTTTTAGATGGTTTAGACAAGAACTGGGCACAATGGTACATGCTTGTAATCCCAGGAACTCAGGAGGCTGAGGCTGGAGAATTGCAAGTTCAAGACCAGCCTCAGCATCTTAGTGAGAACCTGTCTCAAAAAATAAAAAGGGCTAGGGATTTAGCTCAGTGATACAGTGCCCTGGGTTTACTCCCCAGTACTGGAGGTGGTAGAATGATATTATTTTTACTGTATTTATTTATTTATTTTTTGCTGCCAGCAATTGAACCCAGGGGTGCTTGACCACTGAGCCATATCCCCAGCCCATTTTATATATTATATTTTAGGTCTCGCTAAGTTGCTTAGGGCCTCACTAGGATGGTAAGGCTGACTTTGAACTTGTGATCATCCTGCCTGAGCCTCCAAAGCCAGTGGGATTACAGGTGTGCACCACCATACCTGGCTGATTTTACATAATTGAATTCTCCATACCACTTGTTTGAGTAGTAGTAATGAAAATAATTATTGTAAGCAAATGACAGTTACTATGTTGCATATCATTATGAGAAAGTCTCTTCACTGTGAGAATTAAGGTGCCAATAATGGAATATTGGTATACATTTAATGATAGGATAATTTAGGTGCTTTTTTTTAGAATTTACAAAGTGCACAGGAATGGAAAGCTAAATGTTAAAATCCAGGATTTAATGATGAGTTTCCTGTAAATTTAGTTTAAAGGGTTGATGATTATGCAAGTGAATATTTGTTCAATTTATCTGAGTGAGCTAGTGAATAAGATTCCAGAATATCCAAAATCATCCTAGTTAAGTGTCTGACTATATGAGGGGTTATGCTAGGCTTATTTAAATATTGTTTCTAATTCTCTAGGAATTTACTTTTTCAGGCAATGGAGGTCATTATATTCATTCCTTTAAAATTAGACTATTTATAGCTAGGCATTGCGGTGCATGCCTGTAATCCCAGTGACTCAGGAGGCTGAGGCAGGAGGATTGCAAGTTTGAGACCCCTTTGGCAATTTAGCAAGGCCCTAAGCAACTCAACGAGACCCTGTCTCTAAATAAAAAAGAGTGGGGGAGCTGTGGCTATGGCTATGGCTCAGTGGTAGAGCGCTCACCTGTGTGCGTGAAGCACTGGGTTTGATCCTCAGCACCACAGAAAAATTTAAAAAAGGTATTGTGTCTTCCTACAACTAATATGTGTGTGTGTGTGTGTGTGTGTGTGTGTGTATATATATATATATATATATATATATATAGAGAGAGAGAGAGAGAGAGAGAGAGAGATGTAATTCAGTGGTAAACCATCTCTGAATTGAATCCCCAGTACCACATACACACACATTGTGTGAGCATTCACACACACAATGTGTGTGTGTGTGTATATAAAATCAAGAGAGAGACTGCTTAATGATAAATTATTGCATGCATGTACTTGTATCCTGTTAGAGAAAAAAAAGTACAAAAATACAAATGTCATCATAGGCCATCATGTCTAATAGATAAAACATGCTTCATAGTAGTCTTAGTCCTTAGTGTTCTTCCTACTTTGCCCCTGTCCAGATGTACTCTCATAAAAGTTTCTAACAGGACCAAACATACTTAAATTTAAAAACCTACTGGGAGAATTATTTGGATTGGGGAGAAGAGTAAAAGGAGAAAAATGCATCTATTGTCCCTTCTGCAGATAGCATGGATAAAATGCCTTTAACCACTTTCAAGTCAAGATCCAAAATACCAACTTCTTTCTTTAAAGTTGTAACTTGCCTAGATTGGCCCTTTCCACTGTGGTTTTCCCAGTCATTATAGCAGTCATCAAACTGTGAATATCATGTTAAAGGAGTTCAAAGATGAATAAAAATCTCTTTCTACTTTAAAAATCAAGAGTTGTATTTGCCTCATTTGGGGCAGTATCTCTATGAATTGTTAAGGTAGTCATCTGCTTTGCCTGCTGGCAAATCTCCCACATCTGCTAGCCATGAATAATTTCAAGATATAGCATATGTATGTGTTTATGTGAACATAGAATATTTTTCTTGGGATGTCTGAGAACACTGGTACAGATATAAGATTACACTATCAAGTAAATCCTCAAGTGACTATGTACATAAATAATACATGGATGATCATATATTTAAACTGTTTATAGATCAAATATAAACATTTTAAGAAGGAATGGAGGGTAAAACATTATTTAGTGCCTTACTAAGGAAACATTGCCATATCACAAATTTATTATGTGGTTTTAAAATTATTTTTATCAGAGCTTTATACTTATACATAGTAGTTGGGTTCATCTTGACAAACTCATACATGCATGGAAATTGATTTCAGTCATGATCCTCCCCTTTTCCCTTCCTTCCTCCCCTTTCCCTTTCATCTTAGACTTCTTTTTGCTCATCTATTAATTTGTATTTAATTGGTTCTTTATGTGATCTTATCCTTCCCTCCCCCTTTCCTTTATTTTACTCTAGCTTCTGAATGTTATTATGTGTTTTGATTATTGTATTTCAGTGTAATTAGTTTCCACTGTAATCCCATTAATTTTTATTATATTATTTTAGGAATAGTATTTTTTCATGTGGTGCTGGATATCAAACCCAGAGCCTTTTGCATGCTAAGCATGCACTCTATTTTATTTCAATATAATTGTTTTCCATTGCAATCCCATAAATTTTATTGTACATTCTAATAATGTTGATGTTATTCTTTT